CCTTCACACCAAATCATGAAGAAATAGAAAACCTCAACAGACCAATTATAACCAAGGTCATCAAAATTCTCCCAAAAAACAAAAGCCCGGGACCAGATGGTTTCACTACAGAAGTCAACCACACCTTTAAAGATATTTATTTATCTGATATTTACTCTTCTCAAACTCTTCCACAAAGTTGAGAAAGCAGGAATACTTTCAAGCACATTTTAGCAGGTCAACATAACACTGATACCAAAAGCAGAGAAGGACAGCAAACAAAAAGAAAACTACAAACTAATATTTCTGATGAACATAGATGCACAAATCCTCTACAAAATCTTAGCAAACCAATTTAGCAATTAACTGAAAGAATTATACATCATGACCAAGTGGGATTTGTTCCAGAGACACAAAATTGGTTGAACATTCTAAAAATCAGTTGATGTGATTCACCACATCAATGAAAGGAAAGATCAAAATCATTAGATCATGTCAATAAATGCATTTGATAAGATTCAACATTCATTGATAAAACCTTCCCCAAAATGGGGGTAAAAGAAACACCCTTAAACGTAATAAAGGCCATAGATGACAACCCCAAAACTTTTATCATTCTCAACAGAAAGAAACTGAAAAATTTTACTCTAGGTTCAGGTACAAGATAAGGATGTCCACTATCACCACTACTATTCAAAATAGTATTGGAAGCTCTATTTCAAGCAATAAAGCAAGAGAAAGCTGTATAGGCAATCTAAATTGGGAAAGATAAAGTAAAACTATCCCATTTTCAGATGACATGATAATATATATAGAAAATTAATTCTAATGGCTACTAAAACAAATGGCAGGCCACAAAATTAATTTAAAAAAATAAATCACATTCCCATGTGCAAAGAACAAACTTGAAGAGAAAGAAATCAAGAGAATAATACCATTTATCATCACATTAAATACTTAGGAATAATCTTAATATAGGAGGTGAAGGACATATACAGTAAAAAGTATAATACATTGTTAAAAGAAATAGAAAACACAAAAATAGAAAGATATTCTCTGATCATGGGTTGGAATAATTAACATTGTTACAATGGCCATCTTACCTAGAATAATATACAGATTCGATGGAATCCTTATCAAAGTTTCAATAGCATTCTTCAATGAAATAGCACAAATAATAATAATAATTAAAGCTTATATGCAACCCCAAAGTCCACAAAGAAGCAAAGCAATCCTGACAAAAAAGATAAAGAATGGCAGTATCATATGGATAGACTTCAAACTATACTGCAAAGTTATAGTAAACAAAACAGTATGACATTAGGCTAGATCTAGATACAGAGACCACCTAAAATAGAATTGAGAGTCCAAAAATAAACCCAAACTTTTACAATTGGTGGTGGGAAAACTGAACAGCCATGTGCAAAAGAATGAAATTAGATCACTATCTCACACAATATACAAAAATTAACATGGCTTAAAGACTAAGATGTAAGATCTGAAACCATAAAACATATAGAAAAAAACATAGGCAAAGTACTCCACTACATTGTCATCAGGAATATCTTGGGAGTTGCAACTCCAATAGCAAGGAAAACAAAAGCTAAAATAAACACATGGAATATAAAACTTAAAAACATCTGCACAGTGAAAGAAATGATCACCCAAGTGAATAGGAGGTTATATTTGCACATCATATATCTGACAAGGGGCTAATAGCCAAGATGTACAAAGAATTCATATGACTAACACAAGAGCAACAACAAAAACCCATCCAATCAAAAAAAAAAAGCAGAACTAATACATACTTCTCCAAAGAAGACATACAGAGAATCAACAGGAACAGGAAAAATGTTCATCATTTGTCATCAGTAAATGAAATCAAAACAATAGTGAGACTTGCTTATGTCAAAATCCAAAAAGAACAAGTGTTGGCAAAGACGTGGAGAAATAGCAACCCTCATACACTGTTGGTGGTAATGTAAGCTGGTTCAGTGCCTATGAAAAATCTATATGGAGGTTTCTCAAAATATTAAAAACAGAGCTACCACATGATCTAGCAATTCTACTCCTGTGTAGGTATCTACCTGAAAAATGCAAAACACTATTTAGAAGGGATATATGCATTCATGTGTTCAGTGTAGAACTACTTAACAAAGTTATGGAAACAACTTAAGTGCCCAATGTCATGTAAGTGGACTAAGAAGACACACACACACATACACACACACACACACACACACACACACACACATACCCTAGAATACTATGCTGTTATAAACAAGGATGAACTGTTTCCATTGACAATATAGATGAAACTAGAAGGATTATGCTAAATGAAATTAGTTAGAAGGAGAAAGACAAATAACAGATGATTACACTCATATGTGGATTATAGAGAAACAAAACAAAGGATCAAAAAATAAAAAACAAGCTCTAGAAATTTGACTGTAAAAATGAGGCTACCAGAGGAGGAAAGGAAGGATGAGAACAAAGTGTAGATTATGGTGGACAACTTGAGTGCCTTGCTAGTGGGTGTGGAGTGGTAACATACATCTGAAGATGTGTAATCCCATACCTCTGAATAAAACAGTTTTGTAAACCAATGTTACCTCAGTGAAAAATAATTAATTAATTAATCAATTAATTTAATGAACTAATCTGTACATTAAAAGTGGAGTTTTCTACAAAGTGAACAGTAGAATTTTACTAAGAGGTTAAGTTGAAACTTCAAGGCAGTGTAGGTCCATAAAATAGGGCATGATTGGGTGTTTCTTATCCTCTTACTACAATATTTAGTGTTACATATTAATTATACCTAGAAAACAGAAAATAACTGGTGCAGGACAAATGAGAGATTGGCCTATGACAGGTGAATAGGTTATGTTTGAATATTTAAGATATTACCTAAGAGCTTTGACTTTAAAATTATAGATAAGAGTTACATAGAGCACCACATCCCATAACTATAAGGGTAAGACCACGCTGGGTTTTATTTTCTGAATTCACAGGTAACTCCCAAAAGTGACCACAACAAGAAACAAGGAAATTTATCTCCCAATCTAAGAGAACCCATTTCTTTTCAGCATTTTTCATCATCCACTGCTCAAGTCAGATTATTCTAATCCTGGATGCTTAACAATATGGTGGTAGTCAAGAAATCAAGAAGGGGGAGATTCAGTAAATTGTGAAATTATATGTCAGAAAGGTAGAAAACTGTTTTTTTTTTTTTTTTTCATGAAATGACTAAAACTGTCCAGGTACCTCATATTGCTGATTCTAGATTAAACAGACATGCAGGCAGAATCAAGTAGAAGGCCTCAAAATTATTCCACTTGGATTAGTGTGTTATATAACAACAATACCTTAGACTATCTTTGATTCAATTTCAACTATGAGCTTTGAATTATCTCTAAGTTTTTTGGAAAGTTACGATTTTCTTAGAAATTGAGATAATAGCATGTTTTTAAATACCATCGTAAATTCCAATTTGGCTTGTCCTCAATATATCTGAAAGGTGGAAATACTTACCCTACCTCTGGGGATTCTGCATTGATACATAGAAGTAACTCAGCATGTCTTGCTTTGCCCTGCCTTGACTCAATCACTTGCAAAAGCAACAACTAACAAGCTTTTTTAATATAGTTATTCTCAGGACCTTGACTATAGCCAGGCCTCTTACAGTGTGGTCCACAAGGACCTGAAAATCATAATAACCTGAGGCTCCATGCAGACCTATAGGATAATAACCTGCATTTGAACAAGATCTTCAGTTAAGCTCTATCGACATTAAAATTTGAAAAGTGCAAGGCTAGAACAGTGTTTCTCTCCTAGAGTGGTAAACTGATAACCTATCTCAGAGTCACCAAGAATACTCTCCTAAAAAGTAATTTTCTGGACCTGACCACAAGTAGAGTGAAGCTGCATTTTTTTTCTTTTTTTTAGTTTTTATATTCCCCATACAATTGCAACCCTCTTATTTTGACCCCAACCCCTCCTTTCCCCACCCCCTCCAGCTGCATTTTTAACAAGTTCCTCTCTCTGACACTTGGTCACTCTCTAGTTTGAAAATTAGCAGTGTAGTGTTTTTTAGTGACTTCATTTATATATACATGAGCTCTTCATGAGACTAAAGTCCCTGAGTAAGACATATTCAGAATTGTAAACTAATCAGAGAACACATTGAATATAAACACGCACAGACACACACACCACACACACACTCATGAATTTAAAATAACTGCAAAAAGAAAAACTCCCTTTAATATCAGAACCACCCTAAGTAGTTCTGTTGAGCATCTGCAATGAAATGAAGACTAACCTGTTGTATTAGAGAGGAGAGGAAGTTAAGGGAGAGGAGAGGGAGTAGTAAATTATGAATAATGATGACATCACACTTCTGCTCTGGTTTAAAACATCACTCTCTCATATTCCTTGGAAATATTATCAAAAATCTATTTGATTCTAATAGTTTACTTTCAATACAGGAGAAAGAATTTTTGTATCCACCAGATGTGAAAAGAAAAATATCAAAATATCAAAAATATATGGGTGTTAACCCTATTCTGTATGGAAAAGTCTTTATTAATGATTATTAGAGGTGAATTTCCTCTCAAATGTCAAGTAAAGTTACTCTGTATTCTATATATTCTAATGCTAAAAAAAAACCAAAAAGCTAGTCTATCTTTTGTGTGTTTACAAAATCCTGTAATTTGGTACCAGATCCACTTTTCCTCTGGACGTCAAACATCAGAAAAACACCACTCAAATTCATTTTGCAAAATGCAAATTATCCCTGAAAAGATTTGGACATCTGGCTAACATTTTAGAACTACAAAATAATTTGCCATAAGATATTAAAAATATCAAAAAAAGATTAGCACACAGGAGTAAGACTTAATGTTCACACATAACGTGAAGCAGAAGAAATAGAGACATACTGACAGCAAAAGGAAATTACCTTTGAAAAGAAGGAGCAACGTTTAATACCTTTGAAATCTTACTCTCAGAAAGGTACATACCTCAGAGTACAGAATTCCCATGCTGTTCCTTCAGATGGTTACTTCACCACTACAGCCTTTTGAACCTGCTGGAGGTGTTACTGATTAACATCCAAGTCCTTCCCAAAGAGAGAAAAGTACCTAAAACCCAAGGCAGTGCAAGTTCTTTCTTTCCACGCCAGTGAGCTCTTTTCCAGCAATGCAACCGGTAACGCGCCTACTAGAAAACCCAACCCAATGAAACAAAGGTATTAGTTAACCATGCAGTGATCCAACCCAGGCACCACTAATGTTACAACCCCGAGGAACCGGTTTCTGAGTCATATTTGGTCTGAGTCACATTTGGTAGCATGTGGAAAGAAACAAGTTGCAGGGAAAGGAAAGGTCTCACGTTGGCAGGAAGGACTCAGCGGTTTAGAATGTTTAAGACATTTCCTACATGAAATATGGTCTTCTGTGGCAATTGAGAAGGGGTAGAAATGAACAAATTTTCTTGCTAGAGCCATAAATGTCTTCCATAGAACTTGACCTTGAAAAATAACCTTCATATTTTTTCAAAGGATTATTTACTATTTTTAAGCACAGAGGTGATTATTCCTTGATGTTTTGATTAATAGAAACTAATTAAATAACAAGTAAATTATGGTTGGTTAATAAGCTATATTATTTTATATAAAAATTGTGTTCTTTTTTCTTATAGAGGCATGTTTTTATTTATTTATTTATTATATTTGTTTGTTTGTTTTGTTTATACATGCACTGGGTACAGTCAGAAGCGCGGGAGGGTGAGAGAATTCACCAGAGCCAGAGCGAGGAGCAGAACAGGCAGAAGGACCGAAGCACACTGCTGAGGGGAGCAGCGGGTGGCAGGAGAGGTCTGCGCACCATGTGGGATCCTCCTCCGGGGCTGGGGAGCAGCCGGGGATCGAACCGGCGCCGAAGAGGCTGTGGGCAGCTTCGCAACCCAGCGCTCAACCGCTGCGCCACCGGGGAGGCCCTAAAAATTGTGTTCTTAATCACGTTTCTAATTCAAAAAACTCAACCCTAAAGAATCAGTATTTACACTGCCATTTACGTCATAATTAATTAAATTATATTAAATATTTAAATGACATTTATGGCATTACCATAGTTATTTTTTTCTTTTTAAGCACTCCAATTAGCAGTCTAACAATGAATTCTTTCCCAGCTACCTAAATGTTCTTGCAAATCTATTAAATTAAACTTATTATACAATAAATAATAAGTTGTCTTAAATATTCTAATATTGTTTGAGTCAAATTATTTCATAATATTCAATTTAAAAATCACAAATCTAAAATCAATTACTCTAATCAACTACACATTTTAAATAGAATGACCAGGTCAAATATGCCAATATGCCAAATCTTTTGAATATTGAAATCATTTTAGGTAGCAAATATAATACCAAATACTCATTCAATTTCTCTGAACTTAACACAATCATAGAAAAGTGTTAAACATTTCCAGAATTAAAACACCCATACACCGTGGAAGAAAAAGTTCAATCATCCCAAGCAAATTGTTGTGATTGTTCCAATTAGTTTAAGTTCTTTAGCTCCCAAAATTATAGGCTAAGATCCAAGACTTGTATATGTATATCCAGGGAAATTCATCCTACTCCATTATAGGACATGTCTAAAAAAAATAAAGAGCAGATCTAAAATGGAGTTGTTCATTGCTCATGCTGCCCCCACCCGGACTTAATACCTGACCTAATCACAGATTACAGCCTCTTCCAAAGTGGATTCTAAATCAATCAATTTGGAGTTTCCTGGTTAGCCCTCAGGAGGTAATCTAATGATAAGAAACTCTGTCTTTCCCTGAGGTAAGGCAACTTTTCTTTTGCTAATAACCTTGTCTCACCCTCTTTCTGACTATAAAAACTTTCCATTTGGGGCAAGCCCCTCACAGAACCCTTCTGCTTAAGATGGGATGCTGCTAGGTTCATGAATCCTTAAATAAAGCCACTAGATCTCTAAATTCATGCAAATGAATTTTGTCTTTCAACAGATATAATGAGCTATTTTCATAACTGTTACAATAAGAATTACACACTTCAGTATGGTCTTGGCTTTGGGGCCCACTGCCTAGGAGCTTAAGAATTAGCTAATTCTTCGGTTGGAAGAGAGGCAAGTCTGAAATACCCACTAAGATTGCAGCTGGCTTCCTCTCTGGTATGAGTTTATTTTGTGCTTAATTTCTCAAGGCTTTCCCATTGACTTAACATTAAGGTTATTTCCACGGGGTACAACACTATCTTTTATAATTCTTTTATAATCCTTTTTAGCATCTTTTGTAACCTCTTATAAGTAATTTTTTTTACCTTACTTTATGTTTAAACAATATTTGCTTCCCCCCACCCCCTCAGGTGTAGTCCCCATAGAATTCCCTTCCCCAAGGCACCCGTGCACCATCACCCCAGTCCCCTGTGCTCCTCCCTCCCTCCCTCTCACGCCTCTCCCTCTTCCTCCCCTGCAGTATGTCTCTGGTTTATAATTGTCTGTGTTTGCTTTGTTGTGTTTTGTACTGTTAATTTTTTTTTTTTACACTGATGTCTTATTTGGTTCCCCTGTATTCCTGTTATAAGTGAAACCATTGCAACAACAAATGTTGGCGAGGATGTGGTGAAAAAGGAACTTTTTTACATTGCTGGTGGGAGAGCAAACTGGTCTTATAACTAATGTATGTGGGTAGAACTCTTGACTCTCACTACCTCTCTGATAATGTTGCTTGCTGCTAGCTTCTTTCTCCAAGCTTTTTCCTCTCTGAACTCAAAAGATTTCCTTAATTTCCTATCCAGGCCCAACTCACCTAACTGGATTCTAATTGTTTTACTGGACTGCATTGTGAAGAGTAGCACGTCACTCCAAAATATGCTTCTTCAGCATGAAGACAATTTTGATTTGATTATATGTAAGAAATTGCAGACATACAGGAAACTCTGAAGATTAAATAGCATTTATCCTTTCTAAGGGGACATTTATCTATAAAGGAAATCTCCATTTGCAAATGTGTCTCTCCATTTCAGGAAGAGAAGGATGACTCCAAAACTCTAGAAGATTTTATACATGGAGAAGTCACAAGCTTAAATCTATACACCATCTTACCTTCATTTTCCATGTTTACCCTGTTTACCTGGTCATCTTCCATACCTGCTTCCCAACCCCCAACATTTTTCTTTTGACATTAGATGATATTTCAGGGAGTTTTACTCAGCTTTCCTGGGCACTTCCCATGTATACAGGAGGTGTATATGTTATTAATCTCCGGTTTTTCTCTTGTGAGTCATCCTTTATTACAGGGGATTCTCAGCAACAGAATCTAGGACAGAGGGAGGATTATTTCCCCCCCACTACAATCTGATTTTAAATACACAATACTCATAATTATGAAAGATGAACAGTTCCAATGTAGGTTGACTCTAAAAACAAACCAATAAAAAAGTAATTGACTCATTGTGATTGGTAAAACACTTACATTTAACTCTAGGTCACTCTAGAGCAGGAGTGATTTTCCCCTTGGTAGGAATGTCAGATTTAGCAAATAAAAATACAGGTTATTCAGATAAAAATACAGCAAATAAAAAAACAGGTTATTTGCATTTTAGATAAACTTCTAAAATATTATAGGTGAAATTTAATTAAGATGGGTGTTTAACTGAAAAATAAAGATATTTCAGAATATCTGGAGAAATTTTGGGTTGTTAACACTGAATCCTGACAAAACTGAAGGGTACCAGGTACCCCAAACTGTTAAGGAGAATCAAAGCCTGTTCTAAGGGTCTGGCCATCTGTGCCCATAAAGACAAAGAAAGCAGAGTTTAACTACTGTGCTCAAAAACCTTTAGTTAGTGAGTGGCTCAAAGGCGAGAAAGAGAAAGAAAGAGACAGAGAAAGAGAAGAAAGGATTTCAAACAACAGACTCCTGGATCAGGGCTTCCCTTGTGGTGCAAGGGGTTAAGTCTCAGCAATGTCAAGCTATCGCCAGCCACTGTAACATGAGTTTGATCCCCAACGCGGCCAGGGAGCTAACCCACATGGTGCATCAGACCTCCCCTGTCTCGCCCTCTGCTCCCCTCAGCAGTGTATTTCAGTCGATGCACCTGTTCTGCGCCCTACTCTGTCTCTGGTGAATCCTCTCACCCCCTATACCTCTGGCCTACACCCCAATTTTTGTATGCATAAATGAATAAAAATTTTAAAAGTCTGTAAAAAAATATATACTAGACTCCTGGATCAAATTTCAAAAATCACCCACCTCCTCAAAGATAAATGTCCAGCCAAACTGACTGGGCACAGAGCAAGGCAACTGAGGCCCAAAAGCTTGCTAGGAGTCCACTCCACCTCCCAGCTAAGAACCACAAGAAAAAGATTAGGCAGACCTCAGAGAAATAGCACTGAGGAGACCTAAAATTCAAAATGTACCAAATAGTACCCTACAAGGTCAAGATGGGGCTACCATCATCCTGCTCCCCTGCCTAAGTGTTAAAGTCCCAAGAGCAATCTCTCCACATGTCTCTCTTTCCTCCTTCATCTCATTACCTATATACCTCAGTACTTCCTCCTTCCTGGCTTCTCTCTGTTCAGGAAGTCCAGTTTTGGACATAGTAAGAGTTGTAATCCAAGGCGTCTGAGATGTTGGTGGTGTGGAGTGGGGTGAAGAAAATGGTACCCATTCCTGCAGCCACATCAGTGCTCTCCCCTCATTTGCAGTGACACATCTTCTAATATCACCAGGACTGGGGGCATTTTGCTGGCATCAAGAGGGTAGAAACTGGGGATATGATTGAATACCTTACAGTGTTCAGGACAATCTCTCACTATAGAGGATTATCCTGTCCAATATAGTGCTGATGTAAATAACCCCTCCTTTAGGCCAGCAGGAGAAATTAAATGTGAAGGAAGAGGACTTGATAAATTATAGTATTAGAATGTGTGAACATGAATATTTGGAATCCTTATTTTGTAATATACTTATTTTATATATTTATTTTTTTAAGATTTATTTATGCATATAAGAACTGGGGTGTAAGCCAGAGGTGAGGGAGGAGGAGGGTTCACCAGAAACAGTGGGGAACAGAACAGGCAGATATACCAAAATACACTGCTGAGGGGAGCAGTGGATGAGACAAGAGAGGTCTGC